CAAGCTCACATGCTGCACAGCCACGGTTCGACTCCCGCTTGGGATGTTGATAAGACCGATGCGAGGTCCACTTCTGTCTGGGTGAAAACAACTTTAGGGAAGGCAAGGCTCTATAAAAATTCAATGTAGACGTCAGCTCTACTCATATCATTGTGGGAAAATTCTGCTACTAATCCTTCAATACCTTAAACAAAATAGGGTGAATACATCCCATATAACTGATTTTCTGGTAGTATAGAAAAATAAACTGGTTTTTATTGGCTCTCCATATCCGGCTTCTCTTTCCAAAGGTTGATGTAGTTCCATCTAGCCCACCTTCTTTAATTTACTGTGGTTGATTTGAGCCGTTATTTGCAGCCATTTCACACTGGCTGATGAAAGAATACGCAGAAATGTGAATCAGATAAAAGTTTACGATGGACTATTCATCAGCCCGTAAAATAAATAATCGCGCTTTTTCTGTTTATCGACTTCAGTCACTCCAAGCATATTCTGTCATGCCGTAAAGGCCGGTCGACGTATTTTGATATATACTTTGCAATCTGACCAGTTTGGTGGGTCCATTTAATGTCACAGCTTCTGGGTAAGGTTATCATGATATGTTCCAAGTATGCCAACCGATTGTTCTGAATTTTTTTCATGAATACATTTTTTCGTTACAAGCCCATTAACCTTCGATTTATCATGCTGTCTCCAGATTCTTGTTGCTCAAGCTATGTGAAACTGATAGGACCCAAGAGAAAAGTGGAAAAACTAAATGTATACCTTAACATGACCCCCTGAGTTGAATTTCTCAGCCTTGCCTGAGAACGAAAAGCACATATATATTTGCGTTGCCTAATAATTTTCCACTTTGGTGTTATTCAATGGTCAATGAACCTTCGTATGAAACAGCTCAAGTATGGACAGTCTTGAAGTCAAACGATTTCTTTGGTTCACTTGTCAATTTTGGCAGTGTAAACAAATAAAATAAATATATTTATGATTTAGATACATTTACATGGTTTACTACAAGGTTCCTTCACTCTCACAGGGTCGCAACGGCCTGGGCTCAATTTTCGTCTGGGCCAGCGGCAATGGAGGCAAGAACAGAGACAACTGCAATTGCGATGGCTACACGAACAGCATCTACACTTTGGGCGTCAGCTCAGCATCCGAGCGTGGCTCTGTGCCCTGGTATGCCGAGCACTGTTCGTCCACCCTTGCCGTTACGTATAGTTCGGGCGGGCGAGGTGAACGCAGTGTGGTAAGTCTGGCATTCGCTAAATCTTGATGGCATATTCATTTATTTCCACAAAAGCCTGAGTAAAAGCAGTTCTTGAATTGGTGTTGTAGAATAACAGCATCAGATGCCCATTCACATTAAGGGGCCTTTGGGAGCCTTGAAGACCATTGTCTCCTGTAGCCAGCGTCTCCAAAAAACTGGATTTGAATGAAATTTCATAATATACTCATGTCACTTGAGAAAGAATATGTATGAAAAAGAGAGGCCTATTGCAAGAAAGGCCATGATTTAATCGGTCCACAACCCAAACACCAACATCATACTGGAAACCGCACAACATAGTTCTCTTTAGCACCGAACTGTCACCTTTGAGGTCATTTATGCAAGGACAACCAAACATCAGACCTCGAAATACGATACGAAATTATGCTTTATGAGATAGGTTTAGGGTTTGCATAAGGAGGCTTTCTCATTGTGATGATGTTTTTCAAAACAGGTTCGGCTAAACTTGAGTATAGATTCATCCGGGTCGAGGAACGGTGTGCCGAGAAGTATTCACTCAAATGCACGATTACAACTGCAAAATTATACTTATTGTTCGGGTGCGCTTAATCTGCGAATCCCTTAAACTCATATTTTAGTACAAACTGAAAGCTCCACTGATTTGAAAGGTCAGATGTCTATCTCTGAATCCGCACTTCCCTTCGTTTAAATTCCGTTAGGGGAGTTGTTGATGGGCAACTGTTACCCATCCTCATTCATAGCCTGTTTTTGGCATGCATGGCACATGAAAGTATAATTCAACTCTTGATTTACCCCTTGATCTGAATCTATTCAGATAAAAATCACATATTTTGTACCTCTAACCGTCGTTATGACAAACAAATTTAGGCTGAATACTGAAAGTAAATATATTTATTAGTTGTTTATTTAGATCGATTTCCTTCTTGTTTTCTCTTTTGCTTTCACATGCCAGTCTTGGCATTAAGGATTATGAGATTAAGACACAGCTTGTCAAGACAGTACTGAAAATGTTATTGCCTCTTGACTACCTAAGTGTATATGTGTACTAAATAAAATGAAATCCATTGACAGAACCGAGTCTTCCTCCTAATTCATTTTGGTTCGTTCTACTGTTTATTGGTGAGCTTATTTGATGGTCCGATATATGGTAATCATTTAAAACTGGTGAATAACCGCAGTAATTTATTTTACTAAGTAAAATACTGATTTTTTACACTGTATTTTTTCCATGTGCCAATGTCCAGGTTTGTTTGCCATATACCTTATCTCCTTCCGGTTCTTTCGAACAAGGTTTAAGCTTGTCCTGAAATAGACGGCAATTCAGCTGATTTCGCACACTAAACTACTGCTTCAGAGATTCTCACCAATTCCTTCGTACCTTATTAACTAAAACTATTTCAGCCAACAGAAGCCATTCATGAGCTAAGCGTGGGCAGCCGAATATCAATTGTTGTTTTATTATGCATTATTTTGTTTTATTTTAAGAATGCCTTCTGCACTGATTAGCAATTTTCTGCAAATATTCACTCAATTGTGAGTGCCCTTTGGGCTACATATCTTCACCTTTTCACCAATCCAGACCTTGTAGAGTAATGATAATGTAAATTAGAAACCATGACGACATGGCCTATGCCTTGACCATCTGGCAACCGTGAGCTATTGGCTGACTCTGAGTCCCTTATCAGAATATGCATCCGTCTTAGGCGATAGGGTATCCTTGGTCATTTCGAGCCGGAACGAGTGTAAACCAAAGGTGAACATTTCGAAGCTAAGCGTTCCGCTTTTAGGGACGCCGTTCGAGCCTGCCCAAGAGAGGAGGGTGTGGCAACGTAGATGATCTGGTATGTGAGTAGTATCTGTGACAAGTTTTACCAAGCCCATCTTCATGAATCCTTGAATGGGAACTTGTCCATTTTTTAATCGTTTACACATTGGCCCCCATTAGTAGCTGAGGCGGCGCCGATTCGAGGAGTGTGACAGAATCTTTCGTTATTTTGCATCCAATGAAATTTACCATGTCGTCCCAAGATTTAACGGTTGTAATGGACCGATGATTAAATCCACTGATATTTGATGGCTGTTTTGAGCTCTGGGTTTCGTTGATTCTGC